TCATATAGTAGTATCATCATCATGTCTCACCTCAACAGCTGTAATTTTTTTTTTTTTTGAGTCGGAGTCTCACTCTGTCGCCCAGGCTAGAGTGCGGTGTCAACGCTTACAGTCACTGCAGCCTTGACCTGCTGGGCTCAGGCAATCTTTCCACCTCAGCCTTCCAAGTAGCTGGAACTATAGGTGCACACCACCACGCCCGACTAATTTTTTTATTTAGTGTAGAGATGAGGTCTTGCCCAGTTGCCCAGGCTGGTTTCAAACCCCCAGACTCAGGCAATCCTCCCAAAGCACTGGGATTACAGTCTTGAACCACCATGCCCAGCCACCTCCCAAAGCGCTGGGATTACAGGCTTGAGTCACCATGCCCAGCCAACCTTTTAAATTGGTAGCCCTAATTCCTCCTGATCTATGACCCACACAGACACTGGACAGATGCACAGAAAGCAAAAACCAAGCTCCTTTTCACTGCTTAAAATTGGTTTCAACAGGCTATGCTTTCTAAGCTCTGGCCGCCATGCTTTTCTTTCAGCTTTGGTCTCCTTCCCAATCTTGGGGAGGAAGATTCCCCCTTCTCTCTCTCTCTTCTCTCTCTCTCTCTCTCTCTCTCTCTCTCTCTGCAATCTACTTTCTAAATAAACTATTTTTCCTAATCTTCAAAAAAAATTGGCTTCAACATTGTATAAAATCTAAAAAGTCAAGTCTCATCTACCTAAAATGGATCCAAGTTCCCATAGTGTCTGGCATCTACCTTCCTCTCTGAATTCATGCTAATCATGCCCTCTCTTACCCTACACATTACTAAACACCTCTTGCATCCCTCCCGTCACTAGGTTTTTTCATTCTGTTGTGTCTCTATTCATATTAACCACTCTGCTCGGAACATTTTCCCCTCCGCTCTCATTGGTCAGTTCTCATTCATTCTTTAAGACATGACATTATCTTCTCCAGGACTCCTCCTCTGAGCCTCAAGGTCGGTTTCTACTTTTGCTATTGCACCTAGGATTTGACTAACTGAAATTGGCGTGAAAATATCCCAGGAACAAGAATGCGTATCTCTTTACATTCCCAGTAACTAGAACCATACTTAAAGTATATGAAGGGTGTTCAATAGATGTTGAACTGAACTGAAAAAAAAAAAAAAGTTGAATTTGGCTTTGCCAAACCTGTTATTGAAGAACCAATATTGACTCATAGGCATTACCTTTCTTTTCTAAGACTTCAGAACCCGACCGGGCATGGTGGCTCAGCCTGTAATCCTAGCACCTTGGGAAGCCAAGGTGAGAAGACTGCCTCAGCCCAGGGCTTCGAGACAAGCCTGGGAAACTTAGTGAGACCTTGTCACTACAATAAATTACAGAAACTAGCCAGGCATGGTGGTGTGCGTCTGTAGTTCCAGCTACTTGGAAGGCTGAGGCAGAAGGATCACCCGAGCCCAGCAGGTCTAGGCTGCGGCAGCCATGAGCATGCCACTGCACTCCAGCCTGGGTGACAAGAGTGAGACTGCAACTCAAAAAAAAAAAAAAAAGGAATTCAGAATCTGTTTAAATACACAGGTCTAGAATGTTTCTAAAGATTAAACTTACCAGTCTGTCTCTAGAGCCTAATTTCTATCCTGAAGCAACTGAAAAAATTTTTATTTTCCATCTTTTGTCACCCATCCTTTCTCAAAGTTTACCAACATTTCTGTTCTCACCTGCAAGAATTGACATTAAACTGCTCTGAATATAGACCCAGAATTCATTGTAAATAATGATCCTCTCTCTTTTGAGAGCTTCACTTCCCACCTTGTCATATTTCTTTTTCCTATTTCCATTTAAAGAACACTCTCTTTTGAAGGTGATAACCTATGGCTGCGTCAACGTGTAAGTAAAATATGGCCAAAATATGCTCTCACAATTACCCATCCGGAAGAATCACTGCTGGTTTCTCAGTTTTTCAGACAGAGTGAAGGTAAGGACTTTTGGGGGATGCCGCTGAGCTACAAGGAGGAGTTTTCTCTATTCCAGCCAATCTTCTGATGCCCAATCCATAGAACATCTAGAGTTTTTTGATGATTTTCCAAGTGACACTCTCTTCCTCTCACATTCTATACCTCACTGTATTCAGAGAGACTTGAGTTCTCACATTTTTTTCTCAGAACAGCAGCATAACTGTCAGTTTTTTTTTTCTCTTTCTTACTTCTTGCCCTTCCCCAATACCACCAAAGGATAATTTCTCTGAGGAAAAAAAAAGCAGGTTGCTTTGTCTAAACTTAAAAAAAAACCAAAAAATTGCAATAAATTCAGAAGATATCAGAAGTGAGTAAGAAGCATCCATTTAACAAGTTCTGGAGTATTATACTATGCTATCTACCATGTCACTAAAGGTACAAGGATATGTGGAACATGGTCCCTGACTTCAGGAAGTTCATGGGGCCCTGGTAAAAACAGAATAGCGTGTTAGATGGATAGCTGTCACATTTTCATTTTCCAAAAGGTGCTGCATCAAGAGAGGGAGTTCTAAGGACAAAATTTGGGCAGTGTGATGTGTGTCACCAGCAATGTGGAGGACACAGTGAACTGGGTCTGGCCCTACCTGGAAAATCTCAGTGTGGGAGATAAGCTGGTTGGCGGCTTTGATGGATGAGCAAAAGAGAGGGACCGCACTGGGATGAATCAGTATTCCTAGAGGTTATCAAGGCAGAGGATGCAGGAGGGTTGCCCTTGAAAGATGCGAGCCACGCGCGCAAGAGTCAGCATGGACTTGTCGTGGGTCTTGTCCAAAAGCGCCATCTAGAGGACTGAGCAGTCCTCAACAGAGGCAATGCCAGGTGCTGGGTTGAGAGAGGGTTAGCGACCAGCCACAGTGCACCTCTTTCCTCCTCATCAAGAGAACTGCCGATGAGAGATACCCAACTATGAGAGCGAGAGGTCTCCAAGGAACCCACAAAAGTGCCTGTGATAAACCAGAATCAGTTTTTTGTCCATCTTCCAAGACCAGAGAGTACTGACAACCATGAAAATGTCCATCGAGAAAGAAATTTCCTGCTCTTCCTGCCTCTCCTTCTTTCCTGTCCCAACCTTTGAGCCATCAGAAAGATCCACTAGCAATAACAAGGAGAAAGGTGTTGGTAAGAAAAGAGAGGATGACTCCACAACCCTCCTCTGAGTGCAGGCCGCCCACCTGCCATATGCTTGAGGCAAGCAGATAGCAAGTGTGGCCCATCATTGTAGACACAGAACTATTCAAAATGTTAGGAAATCAATATTTTTTATTGGTTTCTGAGGGAATTAAATATGGTTTTCCAGCCAGGTTTAGTGACTCATGCCTGTAATTCCAGCACTTTGGGAGGCCAAGGCAGGATTGCTTGAGCCCAGGAGTTCAAGACCAGTCTGGGCAACATAGCAAGACCACATCTCTATAAAGAATAAAAAAATTAACTGGATGTGGTGGCACACACCTGAAGTCCCAGCTACTTGGGATGCTGTGGTGGAAGGCTTGCCTGAGCCCAGGAGATCAAGGCTGCAGTGAGCCATGATCATCGTGATCATGACACTGCACTCTAGCCTAGGTGACAGAGTGACACCCTGACTCAAAAAATATATATATAATTTCGCTTCCCAACAGTACAACGCCTTCACGTAACCAGAACTATTTGTTCTCCTTAAAGCTACTGAAATAAAAGAGATTAATGGGTAAAAATTTTTTTAGTTAAGGAAATTTTTATTAAATAAATATGGCTTCCCAGAGCAGGTAGCTCTTTGCCAAAATCATAAAGAATGCGTAGGCATCGGCCAAATTGGCACGTTTCAACTCAGGGAATGTCACCAACAAACATGGAAGCTCATAAACGCATGCTGTGTTGGGTGCCCGGTGAGCCGAGTGGTGAACTTGGGACACAGGGCACAGGGTGGGGTATGGCGCCAAATGATTCCAGGAAAAAAAAATGGACTCAGATAAGATTCTGAAAGATCTTGTCTGCCATGGAAAAACTTCTAGCCTTTGACAACTACTACAGCCCCCTCTGCAGTTAAGATATCTGCTAAAACACACCCTGCACAAATCATACTGATTAAATCTGGGGTTTAGCCTCCAAAATGTTAATTCCGATATGCTTCTGCACGGCAATGTGTTTGCACATGTGTCATCTTCATAATTAATTTTCAGCTTTACAATCTCAGAGGGTCATCCCTCCACGGTGAATCTGCTTCTCAATATTTACATTTTTGGGCTTCCAGATGTCACAGCGCAAACACAAGCATTTATTTCAAGACCTTTTCTCTGACAGTATATATTGAGGTAACAGCCAAACCCTGTATGAGTTTGAAATAGTCAAAGTTCATAAGCTGTTTTTGAGAATAGAGTGAACTGGGCATGGGTAGGTAGACTTGCTTGGCCAAATCAACATTTTCATTCTCAAACTTCTCCTCCTTTTGGAAGACAATTCCCTTTCAACCAACCCCTGGGAAACCACTTCTCAGCCTCTGGGGAGAGCCTTTCCGGCACCTCAGTTAACAAGATACTTCCTCTCCTCACTATCCTGCCCAGGATTTTGGTCTGTCCCTGTGATCAGCAAACGCTGTAAGAAAAAACACAGCAGCAGTCCCCAAATTCAGAATCCTGGGCTCAACTGTCCTTCCACATAAAGAGCAATTTTCTCCCCCAGAAAAATCCCTCTAATTTCCCCACCATCTTTTCCCAAACAATAGCCGATTAGGTGCCAATTTTCCCCAATAGGGAAATTTTCTTCTATGTAACAGAAAGCTCTTAAGACAGAAACAAGAATCAAATTCCAACTTGTTTATCTTATGATACTTCTTGAGCTCAAGTCATGGCATGTCACTGGGATGTGGCTTTTTGTATGTTTTGGGTTTTTTTTTTTCCTTCCCGACCTATATATACAGAACAGGATGTGTGGGATCTTCCAAGTCAGACAATTGTGACAAATACCCAGGCTCACACAGAAGACCTGGGAGACGACGGAAGCATTCTCAGTCTGTCCTTTTCTGCCTCCCTAGAACCCACCCTGTACTTTGGGGAAGCTGAGTACCACGTGGGTGAAAGTGCTGGCTGTGTGGAGGTTTGTGTCTGGAGAACAGGCACTGATCTTTCCCAGGCATCATCCGTCACCGTGCGCTCCAGAAAGTCAGAGCAGCCATCAGCAGAAGGTGAGAAGGCCATTTGAAGAGCACATCATTTTCGTGATACACGTTTATGGTGGGGTCTAGTCTGTCAACTGTAAGCATGTCTAGTCTTTGCTGATGGACTCTGAAGTAAAGTTCCTCCTACCTAAGCACATAGATGGTTTGTATGGATAACAACTTCTGCTGGTTACAAAATACATAGAATATTCAAACAGCAGCCTTTATGATTCATTCATTACCCACTTGCTTGTTATGGGTGCAAATTAATTTTCAAAATTCAGATTATTTGTAGATATTTGTAAACAATATTTCAGCCAGGTGTGGTAGCTCATGCCTGTAATCCCAACACTTTGGAGGCTGAGGCAGGAGGACTGCTTGAGCCCAGGAGTTTGAGACCAGACTAGGCAACCTAGCTTGACATCATCTCTACCCCCCAAAATCAAAAAATTTGCTAGGCATGGTGGTACACACCTATAGTCCCAGCTACTCAGGAGGCTGAGGTGGAAGAATCATCTGAGCCTAGGAGGTCGAGGCTGTGGTGAAATGTGATTGTGCCACTGCACTCCAGACTGGGTGACAGAGTGAGACCCTGACTCAAAAACAAATAGTTCTAATTAAGATCCCTCCTTAATGGCAAGCCCCAATTCTTAGAAGAATCCAATCACATATTAGACCCTTGAAGTGTAGGAGTTTTTCACTCACGACTCTTGGGCTTTTTCTTGGCTTCGAGCAGCATGCCCTCATGTCCTACTTACCTTTGTGTCTCCTGACATGGATGATGAAGCCCTTGCTGGCAGAGGGGCTAGACCATTCTGGATACAACTTCCTCTAGTGAGCCTGCCAGGCTTTCCTGGAAGAAAACAGCAGGACCCAATAGGAAAATAAAAGGACATTTGCCTACACTGATGCCCACATGTTCTCATTGGCAGCTGGGACCTTTTGGTCTCTTGGGATGTGGACAGCTAATTAAGTTAGGACTAGCATCATAGACTTCCAGAACACATGAGATGGTTTCAAGATAAGAGCAAAGTAAAAGCAAAAACCCTGTAAAAGAAACCCAGGGCCGGGCTCAGTGGCTCAGCCTGTCATCCCAGCACTTTGGGAGGCTGAGGCGAGTGGATTGCCTGAGCCCGCGGATTCAAGACCAGCCTGGGCAACTTGACGAGACCTTGTCTCTATATTTAAAAAAAAGCCAGGTGTGGTAGCGCATGTCTGTAGTCCCAGCTACTCAGAAGACTGAGACGGAAGGATTGCTGGAGCCCAGCAGGTTGATGCTGGGGTGGCCATGGGCGTGCCACTGCTCTCCATCCAGCCTGGGCAAAGGAGTGAGACTCCAACTCAGAAAAAAGAAAAGAAAACCAGCAGTGTAAAAATCTGCTAACTGGTGAGACAGAAAGAGTAAAATACACATTTATCTATGAAAATGTGAACCCAGTTTCCTCATGTACCCAGGAACAGTTAAAGGAAATAAAGACAGCTGTTCTGCTTGCATTTGGAAGAACAGGTATGTTGTAACACTCAGTGAATATATCACAGGTTATTGTACATTAAACAAATATTGATCCTTAAGAATTATTTTTGTTTTGCTTGTTTCCTTTTCTTCATTTTCAGAGAGGGTCATTTCTCACCCTGTATATATACATGAAGCCAAAAGGAATAAACCAACTGGCTCATTGGACTTTTTTTGCTTGTGGTTTGGAAGAGAAATTCAAATTCACTTAGATAAATCCCTTTGCATAAAAGTAATGGCACTTCTGCTAGCTCTCAGACAGGGATGAACATTAAAAGAGTAATGTCCCTATTTGGAGTAGTGACTCACAGGTTTAAACAGTAGAGTTGCAGAGTAATGGTTTAGACCTGACCGTCTGTAGACTCAAGTAAATATTTGACATCTTCTCAGGTTAGTTAACTAACTATATTAATTTATTAATATTGATGATGGATGATTATGTTATAATCAGTTATTATACTTAGTTCTAATAATTGTGACTTCTATGTTGTTCCTACCCACTACTTGCCAGACACTGTGCCGGCATCTTTGCTGTATTATCTCTAATCTTCACAATAACTTTATAAGGTAGCTATGATTATCCCCATTTTGCAGCTGGAGAAACTGAGACTCAAAGAGGTTGAATGATTTGTACAAGTGAGCCATGAGCCAAGATTTGAACCAAAGTGCATGAGATAGAAAATCCTCTTTCCCTTACTCTCCTGACTTGGTAATGTTCACAGTAATCTTGTTTTGTTTCCTTAATGTCATTATTTGATGCCTTTTTTAAAAAATGTTGGAATATTCTTAAACTTACAGGAGAGTAACAAGTAGAGTGAAACACTTTTTTCATCAACCACTGAGAGTAAGTTGCCAGTAAGTTTGGAACCATCTCTCTGAAAACTTCGTACAATTCCTACATTCTCCTATATAACCACAATACAAGCATAAAATCCAGAAATTAACTTGATACACTTCTACAATCTCAGCCTCAGACCTCAGTCAAGTTCCACCAGTTGTCCTCAAATAATTCTTTATGGCAAAAGAATCCAGTTCTGAATCACACATTATATTTAGTTGTCCTGTCTGCTTTTCTTTCCATCTGTAATAGTTCCTGGGTCCTTTCTCGACTTTTATCACCTTGATGTTTTTGAAGACTACCGGCCAGCTTTTGGAATGTCCTTCCAATTGGAGTTTGTCTATTTCTTTTCATAATTAGATGCCAGTAATGCATCTTTAGCAGAAATATTACAAAGATAATGCTGTGTTCTCACTGCATTCTATCAAACAGCACAACATTTCAATGTATCCCATTACTGGTGGTGTTAACCTTGATCGCTTGGTTAAGGTGGTATCTGCCAGGTTTCCCCACTATAAAGTTCCTTTTTACTTTTGCAATTAATAAACACTGTATGAAGAGATACTTTGAGACAATATATAAATATTCTGTTCCTCAATTTGTTTATATTTTATTTATATCACTCGGGGATTTCTATTTAATTCCACTAGTTATATCCTATGTTGCTATCATTACATATGATGACTTTTCCAATAAGTAGCAAAGAAGCCATATGGTCGGGTGAGTCAGTTTATAAAGATGATGACCAACAATTCAGAGAATGGCAGAACTTTGTGGCTGGGTGAAACTGAGCAGAATGTTCCAAGATTAAACCAGATGTCTGGCAAAAGTGAATGAGTGGAACCTAATCCAAATAAAATGTATAATATTTATCTTCAAGGTTAAAGATAAAAAGGGCAAATCCTTTCATTTCAAATGGAAGCTGCCATCAGAGAGCCCTGAGTAGTTAGCGGGATCTCTGTGAAAGGGGTCGCAAGGTGATTGCCTTGTGTAGACATGCAGAGCACTGGGGAGATGGCACATGGGTATGGCGTGAAGAACCACGTGGCGTTGAGTAGCATATGTAAGTTTCCTCTTTCTAGGGATGGAGCCAACGAAATATGATTCTGAGAGTGCTGGGTACAAAGGAGAATGCTACAGAGTGGATGAGGCCTCTCATTTTTCTCTGAAGGAAAACTTACGGCAAGTCTCACTGGTGCCTTTTCTTTTCCCAACAGCTGGAATCGATTATGTTGGCATCAGCCGGAATCTGGCCTTTGCTCCAGGAGTACGCATGCAGACATTCCGAGTGACGATCCTTGATGACCCAGGGCAGCCCATCTTGGAGGGTCTAGAGAGGTTTGAATTACTTCTCCAGAGGCCTATGGGTGCAGTGCTTGGAGAACCAAATAAAACCACCGTTTTCATCAATGACACCATTACTGACTATAAGCAGTGCTTGTAGCTCCTTTGGCTGAAAGACTTTAATAAAAAAATTAGCTGGGTGTGGTGGTGCACGCCTATATTTCCAGCTATTCGGAAGACTGAGGCGGAAGAATCACTTGAACTCAGGAGGTGGGGCCTGCGGTGAGCTGTGTTGGTGCCACTGCACTCCAGCCTGGGTGACAGAGGCCCTGACTCAAACAAAAAAGAAAGAAAAACTTTAAGCGGGGAAAAACAGCCAAAACACGTCTTCTAACAACAGAATGCAATACTACTGTTTCCAGATATTAGCAACTCTGGGATATCAATGATTCTGTACTGTCATTGGTGTTATAGTCTGGCGATATGTGCAAATATGTATGTGACTGCATGGACATAGAAAAAATATATATATACAAAGAAAGGATTGAGTCCACAAACAATTATACTGTGTTCTTGCTTTCCTTTTTCTATGTTCTTTTATTTTATTTCTGAGGCCAGCAAAACCCACTGTCATCAATTTAATCAACAGGGTCAAAGGAACAACCTCTTTTTACCAATTGATGCTGGATATAAAGTACTTTTCAACCATAAATATACATCATTATCTTTTTTTCATTTTTCAGGTTATTGTGATGAGAGTGTCCTAACTGAAATTTGCAGATAAGCCTAAAACTCCTTGTTGCCAGCTATTTGATTTTTCTGCACAAGTCTTTATCAGAGATACTTGGTAGGGATATTTTTGTAGTTCCTTTGATGGAAAGACTTTAATAAAAAATCTCTTGCATCTTTTGTAAGAAGGATAATAATTAGTAAAGTGATGAAAATGCAAGTAGTAGAAAGCAGAAAAAAGAAAAGTTGAAGATTTGCGGAGTTCCCAAATCACCCAATTAGTTCTCAGCTAATCTTAAGTTGACAATGTATAGAGTCATGAAAAAACCTCAGCTAATAACACATAAATCAGTTCCCAAATTATTTTGAAAACCACATCTTCGTGGCCCATTCTTATCTTTTAGATATTTTTTGTGCAAACCTTTTTTAAATTTGTGTTTCAGACATGACTTAAGCTGTTCTCAAGTCAACATGGTGCATAACAGAAACCATTTCAAGAAGCCTTTCTTCCAAAGAAAAGAGGGGATGAAAGGCCCCTGGTCGGGACGTGGTCCACACACACAGGTTGAGAAGTTCTTCTCTACCGTCAGCCCAGGCTTTGCTTCCCTGTTAGAATTTCATTTTCCCAGCCAGAATAAAAGATTTTTCTAAGCCACCTTGTCACTCTTGACTTCGTTTCTCCCGCTGTAAAATGAGAAATTTTGACTCGATTTCTGTTAAGATCTCTTCCAGTTCTGTCTGAATTCTAAGTATGTATCTACCAACAGAAAAATCACCCTGCTTCACTTTGTAATTTGCGCAAGTACCAGAGTCAAAAATCTTTTAAACTTAAATTCAACAGATGCTTAATGAGTTTCTTCCAGAAGGATATGTGAGATAGGTACCCCTCATGGATTTTTTTTTTTTTAAGTAATGAAAAAACTACCCATGGACCAGGATAGCTCTCAGATACACTCAACAAGCCTCACAGATGTCCTAATTCAGCCCCCAGATGAAGTAACCACCGTGAATTTCCTGCTGAGTACCTGTGCACCCAGGGGAAAATCACATGGTCAGCACTATAGAGGATTCTCTTTTGAACTTGAGATTAATCCCACTCTTTTTCTCTCTCATTTATTGTATCTTTTGATATGGAACTACACTCAGGTGAATGTGGTGTTTAGGCATTCATCTTTTTATCCTGGGTATATTACAAACGGTATTTTTTATGAAGTCACGTTGATCATTTCTCAGTTTCCACCCGTGAAGACATGCCAAAGAAGCAAAATCACACTTGTGAGGCTTCTAGGATTCAACTTAGAGAATGCTAGATACAGCCTATAGTGTCTTGTATAGTTGAGTAATAAAAGTAAGCTAATGGCCTGCAAGAGCACCAAATACCTGATTTCCTACCGAGAAGGAATTGCATACAATGGAAAACTGGGTTCATTTATCATTCCTCATACACGCTTCCCTTATGCCAGCGTTTTTATAGAAAAAGTGTTAAACTTTTTTTTCTTTGAATACTTTAGTTCTCCTAGAGAGTTGAAAAGTGTAATAGACACACTAGATATTACATGATCTAGGATTACCACTACTTAATCAACTCTGGATGAAGAGGTGTTGTAAATTTTCTCCAGAACCGAGGACCCAATACAAGGTCTCCACTTACAGGGTGAAGGAAAAAGACAGGCAGCTGAGGGCAGTCATTTACTGGAGAGGATACGCCAGCCATAGATTCTTAGGGGCATGGCCATGCTCGCAGGGGCTCAGCCCAGGTGACAACGGACTGTGAAGAGCTGATGACGCCACAGTTGGCCTTCTGCCAGGTTCAAAAACTGACGCTAGGGCACCAGAATGTTGCTGCTCCTAACTGTAAGGTAAACGAAACCAGACCAGGCGAAACGCAACAAAGGAGCCAAGAAAAATTTATTAGTGCAGTCCCAGGCGAGGTTCACTGTTCCATGTAGCTGTGGGCCGGAGAAGTCATGCCCAGCAAGATGGGCAACAGGTTTATAAAGGGCACACTGAGAAAGCTGTGAGGGGGTCAGGGAGAGCAATCTGGGTGGGACAGCTGTCACATCTGCTGGCGATTGGCTGAACGGGGTTGCTAGAGTCACTCTAACAGGTACTGGCTGGCTTTGCGGCTGGAGTCTTAGTTCCGGTCACTCATTTTTGCTGGCTCACTCTCGCCCATTGTTCTCCTGGTCCAGGTTGGAGCCATCTTGTTGAGGCCCGCCCTGTCCTCCAGTACCTCCAGCCTTACACTAACCTTATTTAGTATAATAAATGATTACAAGAAACCAAAATGCTCACTACTCAGAAAATGACTAATTGAATTATGGGATATCCACTTGACAGAAAAATATGATTTCTAGACTATCAGTGATCATGTGGATACTGCAATGTTTGTGTTTTTTGTTTGTTTGTCTTAGAGTTAATGTCTCACTCTGTCACCCAAGCTGGAGTGCAGCAGCATGCTCACGGCCACTGCAGCCTCAACCTACTGGGCTCAGGTTATCCTCCACCTCTGCCTTCCTCTGCAATTTGGCAAGCCCTCATATCTACAAAAAAAATCAAAAAATAAGCCAAGTCAGCTTCTCAGGAGGTTGAGGTAGAAGCTGTCTGAGCCCAGGAGGTTGAGGGTTGAGGCCATGATGAGCTGTGACTGTGCCACTACTCCAGTCTGTGCAACAGAGTGAGACCCTGACTCAAAAAAAAAAAAAAGCAGTGAGATAGAAGTTACATACAGAAGAGGATGCAGAGACTGGAGTGATGGAGCTGCAAGCCACATAAGGCAGGCAGCCACCAGCTGGTAGAGGCAAGAAATGGATTCCCCTCTAGAGCCTCCAGGGGAGTACAGCCTTCCTGCCAACACCTGGATTTTATTCTAGTGGTACTGATTTTGGATTTCTACCTCCAGAGCCATGAGAGGGTCAATGTCTATTGTGTTAACCCATCAAGTTTGCAGCAGCTTTTTAGTAAGTCAGATACCAACAGTCAACCATACAGTAGAAATATGTGCTGGCACCTGCTGTCACCGGGTGCCAGCATAACTCAAGATGTGAAATTTGGCCAAGCTCGGTGGCTCAGTCTGTCGTCCCAGCACTTTGGGAGGCCGAGGCAGGTGCACTGCCCAAGCCCGCGGGTTTGAGACCAACCCCGGCAACTTGGTGAGACCTTGTCTCTACAGTAAATTTTTAAAAAAATATTAGCTGGGTATGGTAGTGCATGCCTGTAGTTCTGGTTTCTTGGAAGGCTGAGGCAGAAGGATCACCATAACCCAGCAGGTCGACGCTGGAGTGACCGTGAGCATGCCACTGCACTCCAGCCTGGGCCACTGAGTGAGACTCCAACTCAAAAAAAAAAGATATGAAATTTAAGTAATGCAAAGAGCAGACATAAATAATAAGACTAATAAGAGATTTGAACTGAGGGACAGTTACAAATAACCAAAGGAATGGTTTGTCTCCCTGTGTCTAAAATTCTTGGTTCTAAACAACCAGGGATGTTTCCAACTGGCACGTGGGGGAGATTCTGACCTTCTAACCTTACTTTTCAGGTCTTAAACCTGACCCCATCCTGTAGAACTCTGTGTATGCCTCTCTATCTCCTGTTTCATTCTGTCCCTTGATATAGTGGGTAGCTGGCATTTGGGTTTGTTTTGTTTTCTTTTTTTGAGTTGGGGTCTCACTCTGTCACCCAGGCTGGAGTGCAGTGGCACAGTCACAGCTCACCACACCCTCAATCTCATGGACTTGGGTAATCCTTCCACCTCCCCCTCCTGAGTAGCTGGGACTATAGGTGCGTGCCACTATGCTCAGCTAATTTTTTTAATTTTTTTGTAGAGATGGGGTCTCACTATGTTGCCTCAGTTGATCTCAAACTCCTGGTCTCAGGCAATCCTTCCTCCTCATCTCCTGAAGTGCTGGGATTACACACATGAGCCACCGCGCCTGGCTTAGCTGGCAGCACTTTGACCTGTAGTTGGAGCTGCGGCTCGCCTTTGCCCATGACATGACCATCCAGTGGAGGGATGGTACCCGCAGCCATCAACATGAGCCCTGGGGAGACCTCTGTGGATGCCCACAATTTCACTGTAACTACTTAAGCTATTCATTTTCATATTGAGCACTGTGTCCCATCACTGTCAGGTACAATGAGGATGGCAATGTTAACATATTTAAAGACGGGTGCTTGCTACGAAGGAACTAAACTCAGTCTACGTTTGAAGGAACTCCCTCTAACTTGTCGTATGATTATTAAGAGTGAGAAGAAAGCACTGTGGTGTCAGCAACACTTAGAAACAGATTGGGAGGAGTATCCTGTAGGACATGTGCCACTAATTTTCTCAAACTGGTTCCCAGGGAAAGAGGCAGACACAAAACAGAGAAGAAAAAAATACCCAGAGAAAAGACTTTTTGCAGTTGGAAAGCCATCATATTCATCTGCTAGGATTAGAGAAAAATCCAAA